AGCATGTACAATGTTTTACAAAACTTGAAGGACGCATGAGAAATGTGCAGTTCTATATGCTCAAATATCCTGCAACTAACATTATGATATTTTGATAATGTTTTGAAAACATTTTTTGCATAACTATATACTTTTGCATGAAGGTATGAAAGTCAATAATGAATACAGAGTTACAATTAGACTATTTACCGGGTTTGTTATAACACGAGCAACACGACGGGTGCCACATGTGGAACAGGATCTGCTTACCCTTCCGGAGCACGTGAGATCACCTCCAGTTCTTGGTGGGGTTCGTGTTTCCTAGTCTTTAGTTGTCTCTGTTGTGTCTTGTGTACTATTATTTGTCTGTTTGTTATTTTCTTTTTTAGCTATGGCGTTGTCAGTTTATTTTCGATCTATGAGTTTGACTGTCCATCTGGTTTCTTTCGCCCCTCTTTTACAAAACACTACTGATACTTCATTTATCTAAATGAGGGTTGGTTATGATCATACACATTGCTGACACCGTTTTATTTGAATTTTCTAATCGAAACAGACACTTATCTAATGGTTATATTTTATAAAATTGTTATAAAGTATTTTTTGTATTTAAAGATTTGTTTCAATAAAACTTGTCTTTTCGGTAAAATGAACTTACTTGGTGCGCCAAATCTCGTTGGTTTACAACTATAGAAAAGTGAAAGCTAAAATAATGTAACAAAACAATTCACACCATATCAAATCATTTGTGCGATACAATGTGTTCCAAACTCAATTATGTCAATGTTTAAAGGAGTTGGTTTTGTTTTCATTATTAAGGTCTTTTCTTTTCCAAAGGGAAACACCTTAGTGCATTTCTTTTTCTGATTATTATAATTCTTTTTCCGTTAAACTTTGACGAATTTAGCAGCCTCAACCGTTAGGTTCACGATTTGTATTGGTGTCACAAATACCTGTACGGAACTCACCTTAGCCTGTGAGTCGTAAAATGTTGTCGGTCTAGAGTAATCAGCCCAAAACCTTAAAATCTTGTTATAATTCAAACACTGTATCCGCAATAGGGACAAAAACAACTGAAAGGTTGAATTTGTTCAGTTCTAGACCCTGGTTCTTCGTTATATTTTGATCGAAAAGATACAACCACTCATTTGTAGGGTTATATCCCTTTGAAAATTAACCGTTGTCGGTTGGCCACTAAAACCGAGAAACCGTAAGTCGTAGCCAACTAGGATCTTCAACAATGATCATCAAATAATATAACTTTATAAATGCCTCAAGATCAAAATTTGTAGTTTGACATTGACCTTAGACCCAAATTCTTGTTATAGGATAATCTCAGAAACCATTATACTTACAGAAGTGTTGAAGTTTCGATTAATGGGAAATGTTTGGGTCATTAAGGCGCAACTTTGTTACATTGGACCAATGAAATTTGACCTTTCTGTAAGAGGCATTACCACTTGTTTTAGGTTTCTGAAAAGACAAAATAAGGTTTTACTATTAAACCAAAGGTCCTAGACCCATGCGGTCTTCAGCAATGACATTGGGGACTAATGACCTTAACAAAGGTTACAAGGTTCATGGTCATGTCCCAGATACTAAATTATGTGCTTTTGACTTTATATATAGGGTTTAAGGTGCGTTTTAAAGCTTTTTATGTTTGACCTTGACATTTGACCATAAAAATTTTCATGGAATATCTCAGATACCATTATACTTACAGAAATCTTGAAAAGTGAATAATGTTTGTGACATTAAGGGGCAACTCTGTTATATTTTGACTGATGAGTTTTTATCTATACGTAAGGGACATAACCCCCAATAACGGTTTCTGGAAAGACAAAATAAGCTTTATCTCTTGAACCAAAGGTCCTATAACCAATGGGTCTTTCGCAAATATATTCTAGATTAATGAAATTGAACAAGATCATATTGTCATAGGTCAAGGTCATGTTCCAAATATCGGATCATGTGTTTTTTGCCATATTCTAAGAGTTTTATTTTTGTTTTAGAGCTTTTGAATGCATTCTACTCGTATTCAAACATATATTTTACATTACCATCAGGAGAGACCTCAAAATTGTTTAATACCAATTGACATTTTATTTATTTTTTTTCTTTCGCCAAATTCTTTTCATGCGCTATATTTTTGTTTCCAAAGATGTCGCTTAGTTTTTTGGTATAAAATATCATACAGTCTAAACGCTTTTTAAACTTATCTTTTTAAACCGAACACTTTTCTGTGTAAGAGTTATCTCCCAGAACACTACTGTTTTTGTTATGAGATCTACTTTGCAACCGTAAAAGAAAGCGACAAATTTATTTTTCCAAAATGCTCATTATATCTAAAGGATGTTACATTCTATTTTACCCGAAGCTCCCCGGAGACTGCATATGAGAGTACCTACCCCTTTTGTATTCAAAATAAGTGAAATATAATTGTAACTGGAAAATTATAGAAGATAGAGACCTAGGGACTTTTGAAATAAGGTATTTGGTAAAAAAAAAAGGAAATGAGGTCATGGTCAAAGGTCAAGGTCATATTCTAAATTTCGATGTTTCCTCATTTGCATGTTATTACGAAAACCGTATAAGATATCGACAACATACTTTTACTTAATTGTTAGTTACGACATGTCATTATACGTACATCCCGGTTGAAAGGGTACGATGACAATAAATGGGAGTGTTCTGCCCTATTATAATTAAAATGACGCGTATGGTGATATAACTCATTAACCATATATATTAAAGACCTACTCTCTTTTGATTTAAGGTCCTTGGATTATGACCTTGAAACTGAAGCCAAGGTCATAGATAAATTTCACGTTCCAGATTTTGACCTTTGGTTTTACTTTATATGCATACATGATAAAGGCATGGGACTTTTTGCAACAGGTTGCAAGCTATATGACCTTGAACAATTCAACCGGCATTGACCTTGTGTAAACTGGAAGTAGCAATTCGTTGTACTAATTTAATGTAAAAGTATCAAGAACGATATATGTTTTATATGTATTGTCTAGTAAACTATCAAATAGCAGCAAAAATTACATTTTTTCAAACCGGAAGTAACATTATATCTCCTTTATTTCATACAACTGTGTAAAGAATCTATATATTTTTTGAAACAGTGTACAATAATCTATCATTTGACACTAGCAATGACATCTTAAACTGGATTTTGCTATTTTCATCGTTTTGTGGTGGAAATACCTTCAATTGTTCTCTGAACAATTGGTCTTTAGATTTGGAAATTATGTGTTTTTGAATGAATACATAAGCATTAATGTATTGATCTGTGAAAGACTGTTTATATCTGACAATTAGCTATTTTTACTATTTATGAAATATTGAATTATGCCAAACACCAAGGTTTTCCCTCCCTAAGGCTTAGATTGCCATAGCACTATTTGGCACATTTTTCGCTATTTTCGTTTTTAATGTCCGTCAAATATTATTCAGGTTTGACCTTACAATTTATACGATGCTAGCGGCGCTAATGAGTCTTTAATGAACAAAACTGGCGTCGGGCGTATCAAAAAATAAGCGTTGTATCTATGAGTAGGTTTTTAATTCTTAACACACAAATACAAGCTTCTTGACACAGCAGCTTTTATTCAATGATAATAAATAGAGAACTTAAAAGTGATAATATCTTACTCGACCTTCATCCAGAAATTGATATTGAAGAACAAAACCTGACGACGAAAGGGATGATTTCACTTTCCGTAATTTTTGACATTCATTTTATATGAAGCAACATTCCAGCGCCGCAGACATATATAATATTATTATTAATGCTAATGCGATATTAAGAACTTGCTTTTTCTATCATGATTTTGGTCGAAGGAATCCATTTAATGGAGTGCTAAAAATCAAAGTAATCTTAATGACGAAAGTTTCCGAAATACAATCACTAGTGAGTTGGACGTTATGAACAATCTGTGTCACAGATGACCATGGATACATTCCGATTGTCGTGCCACCATCCTGTCCTCTTTTCTTTCCTCAATAGCGACACCACAGAATAAGATTGATCAGTGGAGTTGTTCATGCTAGAGCAATACGATGAGTGACACATGTAAAGCAGGAACTGTTCGACCCTTTGTTGAGATGACCCCCCATTTAAGTTGGATTTGTGTTTCTTGGTGTGTAGTTTCTCATGTTGTTTTATTAACTATTTCGATTTTTCGTTGTTTTTGTTTATGCATGGTGTTTCGAGTCTTTTGTCGACTCATTTGTTTTGAATGTACCTTTTATATACATTCTTGTTCTTTGGATTTACGAAGACATTTTAGACTGATTTGTAAATACAGTTATGTGTAAAATATAATTAGAGTGAAAAAAGAAAAAAATAAGTCACATGTAGCTTGACCCTCATAATCATATTTATTTTATCAGGTTCATTCAGTTTTGTATGCTCAATCGTTTAAGTCTGAGAGAAATTGCATTCAAAGTCAAAATGCATTTCAGGAGCAGGACAATAAGGTAATACTAATGTAAAACATATTAAAAAATCCGCCGTTCAGTAATACACAAATCTTGCTATATTGTTACATAGTTTTGAATAGAATGAAATATCTTCCGGCATAAAAAGAAAAACAAATCAATTCTGTAAGAAACAGATTGAGACAGGGAAAACTAAAATATATTTTCTATGGCTATACAGGTTTCAATCAAACCTAGCAATATAGATTCAGCATATTTTTGTTATCTTTATACTCTTCCTCTATTTTGTTTTTTTTTTGAGTCGTTTATGGATGTTGTTCAAGTGATATACTTGAATTAATATCTAGACTTGGATGGAGAGTTGTCTCATTGGCACTTATACCACATCTTCTTATATCTAGGTACGAATTAAAGCATGCACATATTGTGTCGTTTTTTTGTTCAATTGGTAAATATAAATCGTGACTACACTTTCTTTTACTGTAAAAATATTGATGAATAATTATTGACAATGTCATGTATGTCATTTGTTATAAAACAATAGTGCAATCAGCAAAACCAAAACATAATTTGAGAGAGAATTAAATTTTATTATTCTTAGATTGATAGTTTTATTTAGAAAGAACAATAAACTGCACATGTTTTAAATAAAATGGTGATGAACCTGCACAGCATCATAATTATAAGCCTCCTTTCCATAATGCATTTCACATATATGTATTATCTTTGTTAATTTGTTACACAAATGTTCGCAAAAAAAAAATAATTTCTAAAACTATTAATCAATATGTAATAACATAGAAACAGAAATACAAACGGAACTGTTAATTTTTACTTTTGTCAATCTGAATAAGACACATTTATTTTTTTGAAAGCTATTTCTATGAAACATGTTTTAAAAAAACTTGCATATTTCCGTAATCAGTCTCGCAATGAAAACGATTTAAACTATAAATTACGTTTGCATACTATATTTAAAATATATGCATTTTGTTAACAGAATGTTCACAATTTATGTTCATCATGAATATTATTCCAATGCACAAAGGAATCTTCACAATTACATGAAATAATCAATAAGATAGATTTTCAAAGCATTATAAACTTTAGATAATATACAATTGTGTATTATTCAAGATAATGTACCAACTATATCAAAGAAATAATTTCAAAGTTCCATATTAATTAGTTATCCAGAATGCGATGTAGTTTGCTAATAAGCGATATAATGTAACAAATTCAGCTAATCTGTTGTCGTTTTTCAGATCCACATGTTAAACAAAAACCCACTTTCGTCTCATGTCTAGTCCCTTTTTTGTCCTTGACTACTATAGTCTTTACACCTTTAGATGGTGTATTTTTTCTGCATCTCACACAGTAAAGAGACATTTTATAGTTGAGTCTAAAATCGAAATTTAAAATCATACAACTGTTAAAATTATAGGTTTAGATAAAGCATTGTGTATACCTAACTACAACAAACAAGTTTGGATTTGATAGATTCTATAGTATGTAGACGCTGACGGGCAAACCCTAATGCATACACACATTATTATAGCTCATGAATTTGTTATTTGCATAACATTGCTAAATATTAATCTACATAGATCCACTTTCCAATATGAGATTTAATATTTTCAGCTAACCTCATATGTTAATGAATAAAAAATAAAAATACACGTACACATGTATGGGTTTAAGCATCTCTGTTTTTTTAAACGTACGACGAATAACGAATATGATTAGAAATTATATCTAATGATTCAACAACTGGTTATGGAAGTTCATGAAAAAAATAATTACCAGATAAACTTAATAAAATATATATTCAACGTACACTTTCATGTAAGAGCAGTCATTTAAAAGTTCCTTTATTCTGGCAAAATCTGTGATTGATATCAATATCATTTTTACCCATAATATAAAACTATTCGACTAAAGTAACATTTAATTTAACGATACCCTTTTAATCAATCCTAAAGCAAATTACATTTGCTGAAATGTTTTGAAAAAATGATTTAGTAAAAATAGCGTACTCTTGCACAGTTGGGTCAGTACAATTGGTAATGTAAATGTAAATACAGTTACTTGGTTGTATCATCGGCCTATCGACTGATAGTTCTAGAGGTTATTATCTGTTAGGTATCCGTATGGAAATACAATTTATTTTGTTTCGAAATGAGAATATATAATAAGAGCCATGTTTTCTTCGACATATGTGTTTTTGGTCGCCCCCTTTGTATTTCTTTCGGATTTGAGCATCCGACCTTATATAGACGCGTTTTTGTGAAGAACAGTGTTTGAAAGTCCGGATGTTCCTTTATTCTTTGTGTTGTTGTCTTAATAAGGTATTTTTACATCTCCTTTATTCAATGCATATGGCAACAAATACGTAACGCAACTCAATGATTTAGCAAAAAGAAAATTAGGGTAATTAGACGACAAATTTAAAACTTCACTCTGAATTATACGACATCGATTGTCAATTATTGTTGATATTATACGTTTTAGATTTTAAATTTCCATTGAGGAGTTAAATTTGGGGATATATTTACACAATTTATTTTTTATATAATTGTTAGTCGTAGATTTATGTAAGAAACAACACAGTACAGGAATGTTTGCGTAAATTAAGGAAATAAACGAAACAAACCTACCTGCTGAAATGTACTAGGGTCAATGCGACATGTGCTATGTGCAGACTAGTGATACAATAAAGAATAACAACCCAGTTCTATTCATATTTATATATAAATGTATAAGGCGATTACCCGACCGTGTAAGGGCGTTGGAGCCAATCAAAGTCGTTAAAAAAAACCCATCATTATCATATAATGCGATAAATATATAAACAGTGGTCGGGTGATAATTTATGAAGATTTGTTTATTAATTCGTGTCTAATGTTTCTCAATACGAACTTGGTGCAGATTTTGTAAAATACTCTTTCAGATAAAACGTGAGATGTTAAAAGGTTGTACATCCACTGTTTTGTTTGTATTGCTTTTTTAACCTGAATGCTATTTAAACAGACGGTTAATGTTCATACAATCGTTTCATTTCAAAAGTAATAAACAGTTTTAGTTTAATTGTCTGTTGATTGTTTTTTTTTTAACTTTTACTTAGATAGTATCTACGCAAGTCATTAAATTCAGAAAACATAAAACGCGGTAACTTCATAAATATTCATCAAAATCATGGTTTGTGTTATTATTAGATTTTTATGAATTCATTTTTTTTTCTTCCGTTGGACACTGTGGGAGCAGAGGTAATTTATTACAAAAACAAAATTTACGCACGTTAAGAGCGATGACCTAAAAACAATTTTTCATCTATTATCATATCTCATATTTGATAGCCGTAAATGTTTGGAAATTTTGATTTGGATTGATCATTAAGGGTATTTGTAGGTGAAATTGTGTTCACCTAACATGTAAAAAATGAGGTCAAATCTGTGATTATCGTTTATTACACACTTATGATAAATCAGTATCGAGCTAAACTTTACGCACATTTTTGAATTGTTTATATTACTTTTCGGTGATCATGAAGCGCTTGTACAGAAAATATATAAATAAGAAAAATCTACAGAATGTGACGACTGAGTATTTAAGAATGGAATTTTGACGCTAAATCCAACCGAAATGATTAATCCTAAAGTTTTCGTGAAATCCTTTCATATGTTTACCTGAAATAACCTTAACCAATTACCTTTGTTTTTAACTATGGTTGGGTCATCTAAAAGGGTATTATCATTCCAGTTTTTGGAAGTCTTAAAACTTTATGTAATCTATGTAGGTGTTAAATTTGAATCGTTTCGCGTATCTAAAATACTCATCGTTCTAAGTTAGATTATTTTTTGGTATCTTAGACTATTTACCGGATTTGTTATAACATAAGCAACACGACGGGTGCCACATGTGGAGCAGGATCTGCTTACCCCTTCCGGAGCAACTGAGATCACCCCAGTTTTTGGTGGGGTTCGTGTTGCTTAGTCTTTAGTTTTCTATGTTGTGTCATCTGTACTATTATTTGTCTGTTTGTCTTTTTATTTTTGGCCATGGCGTTGTCAGTTTGTTTTCGATCTATGAGTTTGACTGTCCCTCTGGTATCTTTCGTACCTCTTTTACATTTTCTTACGTCGGCAAACAATCTTAGTTCAAATTAAGAACGCTTCGAATAGACCAACGGTAAACAAACATGAGTTCAATAGTTATGAAGGCTGCTGTACCTCCCAACATGCAATCTTACCCTATAGTAAACATGTAGGACACATAGTAAATATTATGCTATGGAAATGGATGAACCGTTAAAAACAATTCAGAGTGACCAACTATTTTGAAGGTTTAAAAAATAAATAAATCCAGAAGGAAAACCGACTTATTAGATACGTGTAAAATATATAACTACAAACATATGCAGAGAATAACATCTTTAAAACTTAGGGAAAAAAATTACGGATTCATATTCTTACATGAATGACTATCCAAATATATTCACAATGAATGATCAAATAACAATAAATCCGTATAATAACAATGATCATGAGGATATAACGATAAATGTGTGCAATTCAATTTAAACATTATGATAACGGGAAGACTGTATATCTTGCAGCACTGAGTAACATTTTTTTCATCAAGTATGAACACAAAAGCAAGTATGGTTAAAAAATATTTAGTTTTTTAAAAGTCAAAACCCAAGAATGTTTTCCCGTAAAAAAAACCGTGTTTACTTTATTTTTCAAAAAGTATAACCTTGAGTTTAACAAGTGTGATACAAAAATATGTTTTATCATCAAACAAATCTCCCATAACCTATTTATGTTAAAACAAAATTACTTTTGGAAGTTGAAAACATGGATATGTAGTCAATATTGAAAAAGATAGTACATTTTCCATTAAAAACAATTTGCATAAATTTAAAGAAACAACAAGAAGGTACTTTTTGTTTATAAATATTAAAGATTTTTATTAAAATAAATGTCCAAAAGATCTATTGAAATAAGTCTAAAATATACGTTTTCATTACTTTAGATACATATTGAAATTTCCAACTGGTAATTACACAAATATCAGTTTAGTAACATTGTTTTTTTTTTATTTAACGTATGATAGTCATTGAACTTCTATATTGTTTCTACAAGGTAAATATTTTAATGTATTCAGCAGCAGTATTCAGTCGTTCCTGACGATTTACATATGCCTTATCATGATATCAGCAGTAATGAGGTTAATACTATGCGCTTCTGACTACTTAGTACTACTTAACGGTCACTTGATAAATTCTTAATTAAAACGACATAGTTTGTAGAAGAAAATTATGATGGCAGACTTAAGAATATATTTTAATAAATCAAGGTGCCCGTAGTTTATCTATGTTTAAATCTGAAAGGAGATTAAAGGAACTCATATCTATAATATCAATATAATGGAATTGTATGCGATTGTTATACAAGTTAGAGGTTGAGGTAGCTATAAAACGAGGTTTAATCCACCATAATCTTCATAAGAAAATGTGTGTACGAAGTCAGGAATAGGACAGTTGTTATCCATTCGTTTGATGTGTTCGATGTTTTTGAGCTTTTGATTTTGCCATTTGGTTAGGGACTTTCCGTTTTGAATTTTCCTCGAAGGTCAGTATTTTTGTGATTTTACTTTTGCCTGAAAGAAAAACAATATATTTAACATGTTTAACATGGATTTAGTAATTATCTTTATAAAATTATTTGATAATATTCCTTAAAGCTATGTTTTTCTTTAAAGTTGTTTTATAAAGTTGTATATATATTAATAACATTATTTGATCTTAAACGCTTAAGTGGCCTTCTAACTGTGATGGATGTCTGTGAAGGAAAACAGAAAAATGAGTCGTAAACATATTTGTCAATGTGACCAACTATGTCTAAGGTTTGGAGAATTCTTAAAGCCAGAAGGAAGAACGACTTGTTAATCATGTTGAATAAGGGTAAACTATTTCTGTAAACATATGAAGAGGATAACTATATTTAAAACATGGAACATTACAGATATTTAGATTAATGACTGTTCAAATGTTTTCATAACGAATGATCAAATCAATATACGTCATTACACTAATAAAGCCTATGAGGAGATAACGATAAATTTGTGCAATTAAATTTAAACATTACACGAATAAATGGAAGACTGTATATATTGTAGTACAGAGTAACATGTTTTTCGTTAAGTAAAGATGAACACAAAAAGCAAGGAAGTATGTTTGAAAAGTAAAGCCAAAACCCAAGCACATCTTCCTGTAAGAAAACCTGTTTTATTATTGTATCTTTATTTTTCAAAAGGTATAACCTTGAGATAAACACAATTAGGTAAATCAAAAAATATGTGTTATCACCAACTAAATCAACTCCCATAACCTATTTATATCTAAACAAAATTACTTTTTAAAGTTAAAAACATGGATTTTAGTCAATTAAGAAAATAAGAGTACATTTCCGAATTTTTTTTTGCATGAACTTAAATAAACAGTAATCAGTCTAAAGGTCTTGCCTTAATGTTGTTCTTGAAAATCGTATTATAATTTTAACTTAACAAATGATTCTTTGGTATTTTACAAAACCTAAAAATTTTACAGAAATATGTCTTAGGATAAATATGAAACAAATTCAAACTTGCTTTTGTGTAATGTTAAATATCTAGAGGCCCATCATTGTGATTGAATAGGGTAACCAAACAAGGACAGGTAATGGTGTAGGAACAGCTGTCCCTTGTAAGTAAAGCACAGGTTTTGGATTGGATAATGTTGCTGAATATTTGGACTTTTTGTGAAGTGTTTTACACTATGTATGTCTTTCTATTTTTTGTCTTTTTGTCTTTTTGTTTGTTTTTTTTTTGTTGTCTTTTTGTATTATTTGTTTTTCGGAGTATTATTTTTGATTGACCCCTAGACATTTTTACCTTTTCTTTTAAAACTTAAAGGAGTTAAACGTTTACATTTTGTGATTTAAAAAAAGGGTGCGATAGATATAAGAGCGACATTCAAACCCATAAATCGAAAGTAAACTAACAACGCCATTAATAAGATAAAAATTGTATTGACTTAAAATACATTTAATTTACCAAATGTATATTAACGCCGTTGTTTTCTAGTTATCATCAGATATATTAGGGAAAAATAAATACTATAGCCAAATAGTATAATGATTTATATAAAGAGCAAACCAGATTATATTTGTTGTCATATTCTTTTGTAATACATGTCTCATTACAAATGATTTCAATATAATTTATTGGCAGCTTAAATAATCGAATGTCGAAAAAATTACAATTCTTGTGAAATGAATTTATCTCTAAATGATAAAAAAAATACAATGATATAAACCATGATTTTTTACGTTTTTCATATGTTGAAAGGATCTGTTTACTCTTTTGGAGCACCTAAAATCGATCTCGGTTTTTGGCAGTTTGCTCAGACTTTATTGTTGTTGTAGATTTATGCTTGTCCTGTAGTCTTTTTATGGTTTTTGACTGGTTTTGTAATTTTGTATTTGACTTTTCAACTAGACTCCCTTGATACGTATTTGCCGTCTCTCTGGTTTTACAGTAGACCGAAAAGAGAAAACAAAAAATTGTAGAGTCGATCATAGTATCGAACAGTTATATTTTCGTTGAGATTCGATACTCTTATTTATATTTCGACCGATCAACAATAAAGTGAACTTAACATACATTTTT